TTTTTCTCCGGTACCGGGAACCGAACTCACGACCTTGCGCTTGCCAGGCAGGCGCTTTTTGCCGCTGAGCTAAATCCCCAGCCCCTGTTATATCTTTTTGAGACAAAGTTTAGCTATGCAGTTCAGGCTGGCCTTGAACTCACTTTATAGCCCAGGCTGTCCTGGAACTCGAAAGGATCCTCCTGCCTCAGCCTCCCCCAGTGCTGGGATTACAGATGCTGAGCTCACAATTCATTTTAAAAAAAAAAGTATCACCGGGTCTGTAAACCCAGCACTTGGGAGGAGGCTGAGGTAGGAGGATCGTTGTGAGTTTGAGACCAGCCTGGGCTACAAAGTGAGCTCAGGGCCAGCCTGAATTACACAGCAAGGCCCTGTCTTAAAAAGACTAAAAAAAAAACCCAAACAAACAAACAAAAGAAAAAAACCAAAGTATCACTGGGTATGGATCACCATGTGTCTATAGTCTCAGGTACCTAGGAGGCTGAGGCAGGAGCTTCACTTGAGCCCAAGAATTCAGGGCCAGGCCGGGGATATAGCTCAGTGGCCCAAAGCCTGCCCGGCAAGAATTCAGGGCCAACCTGGGCAACATAACAAGAACCCCCCTAAATAAACAAACAAAAAATTGAGGCATTGTGGGCATAAACACTGTCATGCTAGGGTGATGGTTCTTAGTAAACGAGTATTTGAATTGTTCTTTGTAGTTTTTGGTACTCTCTAATGTCTCTCTTTTTTTTTTTTTTTCTGATACAGGGAATTGAACTCAGGACCTTGTGCTTGGCAAGCAGGTGCTGTGCTGCTGGGCTATATTCCTGGCCTGTAATGTCTCATAGTAATAAGGCATCACAGGGTTTCGGCTGTTGTTTTGTGTTTTGTATTGTGTTTTTCGAGTTTGTTTCCATTAAAGCTAAGAAAGTAAAGTTGTAATAAATGTTACTTTGGTATAAACATTAAGTATTTAAACTTTAAAAATATGCAAGGGTTGTTAAGACTGAAGAAATACAGAATGCGCTGATTAATTTAGATGCAAGAGCAACAGATGGTGGGAGGGACGGGGAAGGGAGGAGAAAAAGTAGAAAGAATTAAGACGTATTATATACAGGTACGGACTCGCCACGAGGAATGCAATCATTATGGATACAACCATATGCTAATAAAAATTAAAAATTTAAAAACAAACAACAAAAAACCAGAACCAAAACAAAAAACCTAAGGGGACATCCCTCCTTAGGCACCAATCAGCTGGCGCCTTGACTGTGGCTTCCTCCTGGCAGAACTGTGAAAAATAAGTATTTGTAAGTTAAGGGGAAAAAAAAAAAAAAAAAAGATACAGGAATTCTCATCACAAGTCACCAGCTGGGTGAGGGGGTCGCAGGCCTATGATACCAGCACTTGGGAGGCTGTGAGGATCGCCCATAAGTTTGAAGCCAGTCTGGGTCACACAGTGAGTTCAAGGACGGAATGTTTTGTTTTTGTTTTTGTTTTTTTCCCCCGGTACCGGGAGTCGAACTCACGACCTTGGATCTTGCGTTTGCTAGGCAGGCGCTGTGCCGCTGAGCTAAATCCCCAGCCCCTCAAGGACAGAATGAACTACAGAGTGAGCCCAGTCTCAAAAACAAAATACAAAAAAAAAAACCCACAACAGTCACGAGAATGGACAATTCCGGGGCAACTGGGCATGCGCCCCGCTAGGGAAAGGCGGGGGAAAGGGCGGGACTTCCCAGGCTTCTTCTTTTCCTATTGGTTGATCACTGTCACGTGCCAGAAACCGGAAGTCGTAGTTATAAATTAAAGGAAGCGGAAAGCTGCGCCGAGTTTTCTTCTCCCGCTTCTATTCACTGCTTCGTATAAAACTAAGCTAAACCCAGTTGCCTACCGGCGTCGTGTCACTGTCGCCATGGCCCTTAGCGACGCTGATGTACAAAAGCAGGTGAGGGACATCGCGAAGCCGCGGGGCAATCTGGGGGTGGGCTGGAGTCCGGCTCAGGGAGGGCGCGGGCACTGGGGCGGCTGAATACCGCAGCGCCGGTCACCCCGGCCCCCAGATTCCCGAGTCTCGGGCTTCCTCTGCAGGAGGGAGACTTGCTGACTGGGGGATTTGCCGCGCAGCTCGGGAGACCTCTGCTCCGGGCCTGCGCGCTGACGGCACCAGCGCTGCTTTTCGCCTCCGCGGCCCCTGTTTTCCCGGGGTGCTCAGTGCGCTTGACCTGGCAGGGATCTGCACAACAATCTGCAACTGCCCTGCCACCTAACATTTGTATAATAGGGAAGAACCGACCAGGCGTGGTGGCGCATCTTGTAATCCCAGCACTCGGGAGGCTGAGGCAGGAGGATCGTTGCGAGTTCGAGACCAGCCTGGGCTACAAAGTGAGCTCAAGGCCAGCCTGCACTGCATAGCGAGACCCTGTCTCAAAAAGACCAAAA